AGAAGGGAGGGGCAATGGAAAAGATGGATGCTGTAAATTGCACGTTTCTTAAAAAATGCAAGGGTAGGCTATAACCAGCCTTTCACCCTGTTCTATTCCATTTTACCCATTCATTTGTTACTTTATTACACACTCACTTGTCCTCCATGTCCTCCCACACACACACACCACCCCCCGCTGAAAAAGAATCTGAAGCAGCTTAATGTGTTCACTTAAAGATACCGTCCAAAAATTGTCTTACAATGTTCTTTATCTATGTTACCTTTACTCATAGAAAAATTGAATTTAAAAAGTGAATTACATTTTTTAAGAAATAAATCCATCGGATGCATGATGGAAGGAAAAACTCAATGTAACTTTCAAAGTTTGGGGATGTCTTTTCCTAATAGATGTCATATGAGATCTTTTTACCTCTGTGACTTCTGTGGGTGCGTGGTTCAGGGGCAGCAGAAAGGGAGGAGCGGGGTTATGCTAACAAGCCATTAACTGTCACTAAAGATGGTTCAGGGGGCTGATTACAAAAATAATGGGTCCTACAAACTTATGATTACCAGAGTGGGGAAGGGGTTGGGAAGGGATAAATTGGGAGTTTGAGATTAGCAGATACTAACTGCTATATAAAAAAAAGATAAACAACAGGGTTCTACTATATAGCACAGGAAGCTATATTAAATATCTTGTAGTAACTGATGACAAAAAAGAATATGAAAAGGAACAGATGTATGTATATGAAACATGATGCTGTACACCAGAAACTGCCCCAACATTGGAAATTGACTATATGTCAATTAAAATAAATAAATAAATAAATAAACAAACAAACAAATAAATAAAATCATGAAAGAGAGAGAGTGAAAGAAAGAGAGAAATAATGGGTTCTTACAATGAGTGACCATGAGGAGCTACCATCTTCCAAGCTGTCTTTGGAAGGAATTTATGTCGTGGAAAACCTGGATCACTAAGCTGTGGGCAACCCGAGGGCAGTGACTTTATCCTTTTACCTCTACTGACATTCAGCAAAGAGCCTCTAGCGCTTAGTAAATACTTGTTGATTGAATGAAAACACATCTCTTGTCAATCTTGACTGAGTAAGACTAGTTTTCCTCTATGCAAGATCCTCAGTGAAGAACAGTTTATTTGTCCTCAGTCCCAAAAGCCTTATCCCTCCCCATGCCTAATGGTTCAATAATGTGGGTTCTCAGCATTTGTTACCTTCACTTTAGCAGAAGAGAGACGGAGAGCACTATCTCCCAGGGACTGCAAAAAATCCACATCCATGTGGTTGCTATTGGCAGCCTGCTGAATCAAGAACTTCTGAATTCTCCCATCACTGTACTTTTCAAAACCTGAGTCAAAGATGAGCTGGCCACTTGAGCCAGGAACCACGTAGCGGAACATCACGTTGGTCTGACCGGGAAGGCTACAGCTGATGTTGGAAAGCAAGGCCAGCTCTTGCATCAGCTCTGGCAGTAACTCTTCAAGCGACTGCTGAATTTGCCTCGTGGGGGTGGACACATCAATTCCTACAGACAAATCTATGTGGCATCCTTTGAAGGTGAAGGAGAAGAAAATCAAATTAGTTATCTGTAGACACACAACCCAGCCCAGAAGATATCAACCAAGCTGGCTCTGCAAGAAGGACCTCCAGTTGAGACAAGAGGGAAGAGAACAGGGTGCAACCACTAAAAGAATGACACAGCCATTGAGGATAGGACATAAACTGGTTAGAACCAGTTAGCACCAAGATGGCAGAAGATTCAACTTCCAGTAGACCCTGAGCCTCATTATATGCTCACTGTAATATATTAGCATGCTAGATGGCACTCCCACAGGTGCCATGACAGTTTCAAGGCTGACCATAAAAGGTCAAAAAGTGGGTGATGGCCCAATTCCTGGGAATCCCTACTCTTTCCCCCAAATAGTTGGAATAATCCTCCCACTTGTTAGCATATGAAATTACCCAGCCCATAAACACCAACAACCCCCAGACCTCGTGGTCAGTATCTCTTCTGAGATGGACGCATTCTGCCTGTGGAATGTGTACCTCTCTAAGTCAGCTTGCTTTCACTTTACTATGGCTCACTCTTGAATCCTTTCCTGTGCAAGAACCTACTCTCTGGCAACACAGCCAACCCACAGAAGGGTAAGCTAAATAATGGTGTTTTTTATTTAATTGAGGGGAATGGCTTGTTACACAGCAAAAGTTAACTGGTACAAAACATACACTATGGCTCTGCAGGTCCTATTCCCTCTACCCAGAAGTCCTTTCCCATCCCTTCCACCCCAGCCTGGTTAACTCATATTATGTCCTCCAAATTGTAGTTCAAGTGACTGCCCTCCCTAAATCTCTCTGTGACTCATGTCCCCAGATCCTCAAGCTGAGTGATTAAATGTCCTTGTGTATCCACTGTTACTTGACTTGACCTTCTCTCTCTCTGAACAAAGAGTCCCTCATAGTAGGGACTATGTCATCCTACTTTCCCAGTATCTAACACACATCCTCATTAAATGCTCTCCAAACAAACGTAGAAGAAAATAATGAGTCTTGAGTTTCTTTCAGCACAAGCTGTACCATTCCCTTCTTCCCTAGAAGCTTCCTGCCACCTACATGCATCCACCTTGTTTCAGGAAAACGTGTTGGAAAAGACCAGGACAGACAGTCATTCCCAATACGCTGTTCCTTCTCCCTAAAAGCCCTGAAGCCCTCCTGGGAGGACGGAGCTAGAGCCTGAGGGTCCACTGATGTTTCAGGCTATACCCACCCACTCACAATAAGACCACCCACAAAATTCCACTGAGGAGGCAAAAGCTGGCAGTCACAGATGCACTTGGATTAGAATTGGCGTGAATAACTTAAAATGGAACTTATCAACCATAAAACAGCCACTATTATTAGCTACTTCTGGGTAACAAGCAGAATTTAGGATTGTCAGGGCAACCCAGGACATGTAAGCGCTGTTCCCTTAGATCAGCACACATTGGAGTATTTGGCTCAGAATCAATAAAAACAAAACTGCAGATTTGGGGGTGGAAGGGTTGTTTTGAGGAAAATAAACACTGGACACTTTACCAGTAAAAAGGGTCATAATCAGTGGCTTAAACTTTCTCAGGGATCTGAGATCCAGGGCTGAACCATGGCTGTTCAATCTTCTAAATATCCTCTGTGCTAGCTAGCCAGATATGTTTCTGCAATTAAAAAGACAGAAAATGCCTTCCTCCGCTCTTTCCATATAAAACATCTTGGCTTTGTTTTGATTTTTAAGTCTCCAGTTGAAATTCACCACAAGGAGTTTCCGCAGATGTAAATCTCATTTCTATATCAGATCTAAATCCAGAAAAAAGAAATTTCTTTTTTGCAGTGTGGTAGATTACTCTAACATTTCTAATTTGCATTTTCCCCAGAATATTTTCAGCTGGCATTATCCCTGTACCACCAGGAGCATTTTCTTTGCCTGTTAAGGGAGAGGGTTGAAACTCTAAGGTCTTTCTGATTCAGCGTTATGATTCTAGAATTCTAGAATTAATTAGGTTTCAGCCATTATTAGAGTATCCAGCTAATTTAAGCCAAAAAAATCAAAGACAGAGCTGAAGATAAATATAAATCCTAATTTACTATGTGGCGCAAAATGATCTGAAAAGAGAAGCTAGACTCCTATATTCCTTCTCCTTCCTAGGACAATACCCAGCTGCATACAAACAAAAACAAAACAAAACAAAACAAAAATAGGATTTTGATTCCTGAGGAATCTGAACTGCTTAATACAGGACATCCCATAATCCATGCTTATTTAAAAAAAACAATTTTACACACACACTCTCTTCAATTGATTCCTGAATTCACCAAAGACACTGATAAGTAGTGATACCCTTTAGACGGAAATAGACCAGAAAACAAATTTCTTCTATAGAGCACAGGCCACCATATTTGATATCTTGTAATAACCTTTAATGAAAAAGAATATGAAAAAATATATATGTATATTCATGACTGGGACATTGTGCTGTACACCAGAAATTGACACATTGTAACTGACTATACTTCAATTAAATATATATATATATATTAATTTAATATTCTACAAAATTGGATCTGGCTTTTTGATACCAAAATTGATGGGAAACTCAAAACCTCTGCCTTCTTGATTTTCCATCTGTGTTTCCTAACCTTTTTGTTTTTCTCAGCTGGAAATTGAGTATCATAATAATTGAGTATTATAATAATAACCCCCCTATTTCACATGGGGTTGACTTAGGAATATTGGGCTTTATGAGTTTCATTATATATTATTCCATAGGACATAACTATACACTATACTTTGCCACACATTACGATACCATCCTGCGCTGTCCTATTGCATACTATAACATACTACACTGTACGTCAGCCTTCTACTGCGTCCTGCACTGTACTGTACAACCCTCCTACTCAAAGCATGATTTGAAGACTAGCAGAGTCAGCATCCCCTGGGAGCCTGTTAGAAATGCAGACTCACCTCCAACCCACTGAATCAGTAACTGCAGTTTAACAAGGTCCCCGGGTGATTCAAATGCACATTCATCTGAGAGGCCCTGTTGTGCTATACACCAAAAGGCACCTAGAACAGGATTTGGCACACAGGTGCTGGAACCAGACTGCCTCAAGTTCATGAACACCTCTGCTATTTGCTTGAGCCAAATAACCTGATTTTGCCATGCGCTTGGTTTTCTCATTTGTTAAGTAGTATCTACTTATTAATAGGGTTTGGTGAAGACAGAATGTTTTAACCTATGGGAGCCCTCGGAACAGGACTTGGCACAAAAAAAAAAAAAAAAACCACATCTAGAGGTGAGCCTTTCTAATTACAATGTGTGTGTGGCATCTTGTCCCCGTGGGTAGGAGGCATCCGTGAAGACATTCAGTCTCAAGTCAGTCTCAAGTCTTGGGAAAAGAGCCAAGGGAAACCCAAACTGTTGGGAGGAGGAACACTTATCTCCAGACCCTGTTGTTTCGGAGAAAAGCTTGAGGAGATAAAATGGGATTGAGGATGAAATGAGCCATATGGAAACAAAATGGCAACCAAGAAGCGAGACCCAGTACAGAGTCGCATGGAAAAGACAGCGTGTTCTATTTCATAAGAACAACTATCTGACTGATCTTATTCGCTGCTTCTCTTTTCCTTTCTCTGGACCCCAATCTCCAGGAGGCTGTCTTTGCACATTCCAGTCTGGCTTCATATCTACAAGGAATGAAGGAAGAGTTGGGAGGACTTACTAGAGACAGAGTTTGGAGAAGGGTCAGGCCTCTGGAGTCCAGAGTGATGACAGCCACGTGAATGATGAAAAATTTCCCAAGGGAAGGAAACCACAGCGTTCCTTCAGGGCCGTTATCTTCCCCACAGGGTGATTTTCCCTCCCTCCTCCAGCTAGAAGGACCAGTTTTATTTCACTAAGAGAGCCAGCCTGGTCCCAGACACCTACCATGGGCTTATGGATCGAGTGACAAAATCCTTTGTCCCTCACCTTGTGGAATGCAGATCTTGTACAGAATCTCCTTCTCCAGGTTTTGCAGGGACTCAAATTTTTCTTCATAGTACACTTTGCCCTGGTCCTTAGTGATCTCCAAAAGCTGAGACTTTCTGGCTCCTCCCACCCCAATGGCAAAGATAATGATGTTTCTGTCCCTGAGGGCCTTGGCCGGTAGGACTACACTGTCCTGGGAGACCCCGTCGGTGATTACAATCAAATACTGATGAACACTGGGCCTCCCTCCTCTTGAACTGTCAAAAAAAGGCAGCGTGAAGTTCAGGGCTTTCCCGGTGTAGGTGCCATCATTTATTTGCTTAACGTTCGAGATGGCCCTGTGGATGTCCGCCTTGGAGGAGTGCTGGCCGAGCCTGAATTCTTCCTGCGGGTTGGAGCTGAACTGCAGAAGGCCGATCCGAATTTCATCGGCACTGATATTAGATTGGTTCACCATTCGCCTCATGAATCCCTTCATCCTTTCAAAGTCTTTCGGGGGGATGGACTCAGAACCGTCCATCAGGAAGATGATGTCAGCTTTCCTGTTCTTACAGGCTGGGTGGGGGAAAGGACAGAACATTCTCTCAGAGTCTGAAACCAATTAATTACAAGCTGCCAAGAAGAGTCTAGGGTAACATATATACAACACAAAATACATTTAAAGGGGGTGGAAAGGGAAGTCAACGAAATAAATTTTCTGTGACCCGGTATGAACAAGTCTCAAAATAAGACACAGCTGTGTGATAAAGATATAAAACGTGACCACCTTGGATCAATCTAGGTCATGGTCACTCTGTGTCCAGTGCTCACTTTTGGACCAGTGAGTCCATGCTTGGGGAATGAAGCCTATACAAATAGATTAGACATACATACTCAGAGAGACAGAGAGAGAGAGAGACTGAAGAAAAATATTCTTACTCTCTGAGGAGCAGATGTCCTGTACCACTTCTTGTTGGATGGCCTTCAAGGAATCAAAATCATGCACGAAAAACATTCTGTCCTCAGCCATCTCCCGAAGCTCAGCAGTGTTAGCATCCCTGACTCCAACGGCATAAATGGTGACTCTGTCTCTCCTCAATGCCTCTGCAGCCTCTGCTACGTGATCCATAGATTTTCCGTTGGTTATGACGATGAGATACCAAGGCATGTTGCTGCGAGCAGTGTCTGCAAAGACCTGAACCATATGGCCCAAGGCGTGGCCGGTCATGGGGCCCCCTCCTTCTGCTGCATGCCATCGATGGCAGCCTTCAGCCCTTCCCTGCTGGGATGCTGGCTGAGGATAACCTGAGTGTCGATACCATCTGAGTACTGAACAACTCCAAACTGTACTCTGTCAGGCCCCACGTGGAACATCTTTATCACCTCATTCATGAACACTTTCATTTCGAGAAAATCATCTGGGTTGATGCTGCCGGACCCGTCAATAAGGAAGTAAATATCTGCCTTCTGGATGTGCACACAGCCTAGGTGGTAAGAGGAAGTGGCAGCCATGAGAGCAATGTTGGAGACGACCCATGGCAGAGCGATCGATCCCCATGCCCCCGGTTCCCTGAGCCCTCATTGCTCCCTTTCTACTAAAAGCACCTGAAACTCTCCCTAAGGATGTTCCTCGGCCAAGGGCATGATTGGCCCACACCCCAGTCAGGCCAGGAGTGAGACGGAGCAGCCACCTGCCATGATTGACAGGGCTGTGGTTAAGTACCCCGTCTCCCTTGCTGTTTGGTGGGACCACTCTAGGGGGAACACTCGGAGTCCTCAGCAAAGCTGAGCCAGGTGCCTCCAGCCATCGCCTGCTCACTAACTCAGCCTGTGCTGGCTGCCTTCCCTCCCTCTCCCCAGCCTCCACTCCCCAACAGTGTTCCCTGCACTCGCCTCCCAGATAAGTCACTCGAACCTACATTCTTGTCTTGGAGTCTGTTTCTGATGAACCCCAAAGATGTGAGGAAAATACGACTTCATGTTTCTCAAATGGGGATGTTGAGAACAAGCTAAAAGTGACACATCAGAGCCTATCTGAAGCGATGGATTGTCTCAGCATCCAATATACCTGCTTCCACTGCAAGTCATCCTTTTTAAATGCATGGGCATGGGGGTGAGGGTATAACTCAGTGGTAGAGCACATGCTTAGCAAGCACAAGGTCCTGGGTTCAATCCCCAGCACTCCATTAAAAATAAATAAATACAAACTACTATGTACAGAATAGATAAATAACAAGGTTCTACTGTATAACACAGGGAATAATATTCAGTGGCTTATAGTAATCTGTAATGGAAAAGAATATGAACAAGAATATATATTGTGTGTGTGCGTGTGTGTAATTGAATCACTATACTATACACCAGAAACTAATACAACATTGTAAATCAAAAAAATAAGAATAAATTTTTTTGAAGGAGAGAGAAGCAAGATGGTGGAGTAGAACAGAGGGGGAGCCTCTGAGGCTTAGATCTGGCCTGAGCACCCCTTGACCAACAGAACTAAGTTAAACGGGCACAAAGGGTCCCCGTGACACCCAGCCCGAGATGCGAGCCAACAGCTGGGGCTGGGACAGGCCGCCCGAGCCGGGCAGAGGACTGAGGTGGCTCCACTGACACAGCCCTGGGGGACTGCAGGGGGCTACACGCCATGGCTGGGAGGGGGCATAGAGCAGAACAACCTCTGTCCCCCATAAATTGTGAAAAAAGCAAAGCAACAAGGCTGGTGTGCCCTGGGGGGAGGGGCGCCATAGCCTTCGTCTCCTCAGACCCAAGGCGCCATTACTGGCGCTTCTTGCAAGAAGAGAGGCGGGGTGCAACCACAGCCGCCATCTCTTGCTGTGCGCAGTGCCTGGGCAGGGGTGAGGCCGAGACCTGAATCCACACCTGGGGGCTCTGCAACCTCCTGGGCAGGACTGAGACTTGTTTACAGCCTGAGACACATAGGATCTTTCCGCCCTGACACCTCAGAGAACTCGTGCTACCAAGACAAACAAGGAGCTGAGATCTGGCATGGAGCAGGGGCAGGGCTGTTCCGCAGTCTTCCCCGCCCACCTACAGAGTGCCAACCCGAGGCAGAGCAGGCAGCTGCACAGAGCAGCGGAGCAACTGGTGCCAGGAGAGGGTGGATGGCCACCTGCCTTCCTGGCAGGAATGCAGCACCTGACCACGGTACTGGGAGGAGGCGCAATCTGCCCACCTGCCTCCCCAGAGCGCAGCATCTGACTGTGGCATCTGGAGGGGGAGTGACCTGCCTGCCCACGAAGTAAGAGCTCAGCACCTGACCTAGTGTTGGGAGGGGATGCGATCTGCTAGCCAACTGCCACTGGGAGCAGCACAGACAAGTGCGCCAGCAGAGGGCCTCTGGAAACAGCAAGCTGAGTTCATGAAACAAGATGAAGACACAAAGACCTCTCAATAAAATCATTAAGAGCACACCATCTCCAGGAGAACTAGATAACTGATACTCCATAAGTCACAGTGCCAGAGAGATATGAGCAATATGAAGAAGCAAAGGAACCACTCCCAATTAAAAGATCAAGAGAAATCCCCTGAATGCACAATCAAGGAAATAGACATTGATGGCCAACTAGATCAAGATTTCAAAAAAGGAGTGATCAAAGTACTGAAGGAACTAAAAGAAATGTTTATGTGCTTAGAGATATAAAATATGTCAAAAAAGAAATAGAAGCGATAAAGAAGAACCAAGTAGAATTAGTAAACTCATTTGTTGAGATGAGAGCTGACCTAAAGTCTGTACAAAGCAGGTTAGATAATGCAGAGGAACGAATGAGTGACCTAGAAGACAGGACAACAGAAAGCACCCAATCAGAACAGCTGAGAGAAAAACAAATAAAAAACAATGAAAAGAATATAAGGGACCTATGGGATAATATAAAGCATGCCAATCTACGCATACTAGGGGTTCCAGAAGGGGAAGAAAGAACAAGGGGGATTGAAAAGGTATTTGAAGAAATCATGACTGAAAACTTCCCAAACCTAAAGAAGGAATAAGATATCCAGGTACAGGAGGCTCAGAGGGTTCCAAACAGGAAGAAACCAAACAGACCCACACCAAGACATAGCATAATCAAGATGGCCAGAGTCAAGGATAAAGAAATGATCCTAAAGGCAGCAAGAGAAAAACAGAGTGGGTTACAAGTGAACCCCCATAAGGCTCTCAGCTGATTTCTCTACACAAACACTACAGG